TCACTTAGATTAGTATAAAAGTCAGGTAATAGTGTTTCTTTAGGAAATTTATTGAAAGTATTCATAATATTTGAAAATAGCTGTCAAGAATAAAGCATCATTTTTCATACAGACCGGCTGAATAAACAGTCATTAAATCCTTATTCTACGCTATAACTGTTTTCAGTCATTTTGAAATAAAGCTAAGTATATGATCTACTCTCACTCCATTTAACATATAAAATTTTTAGTTCTCTGTGTAGACATTTGTAATTACATTTATATAGCCGTGCATAAACTCTGTTCTCAACGATTTAGGTGAATAATGCACCTATAACATTCTATTCTCCGATACATTAAACGTCCTAAACCGACTGTTTTGACGTAGACTAACATGTAGACAGTTTTCTTAAAATCTCCTTTAAGTCATACTAGTTAGTGATTCTCGTCCTTACAGTATCGTATCAGTGTCGCATTACATTCAAATAAGTAACTTATTACCAAATGAACTAAAATATGTGAACAGGTGGTGAAAGTATCTAATATTTAATCTATTCTAGACCACGTTCAGCTGACAAAAAGTTACATAAGTCTAAGGAAAGTACTCACCTTAGTAACAAAGAGTTACTTATGTCCATGCCAAGGAACATTCACAATGAAAGTACTTTTTAGCTAATTCAGTCCGTTATGGCTTATGAAAAACACCAACATCATTATGATCTATGCAGAAATCCTTTTCATCGCCTGTCTGCCTTGTCTTCAGAGATGCAGAGTTTTATCATTAGAACTCTATTTTGTCTTTTAAATATACAACAAACTTTTAGTAATACCGCTCAGTTGGATATAAAGAATTTTCAAGACCATACTATATGCCGTAATCTCTGAAGACCAGAAATTTAATTGAAACAAACACACCACTATCATTATTATTGTTTTCGTTTAGAATTAAATTAAGAGTTTTACAAAGCATCTATTCAGTTGAGAGAACACCAAAACACTGAATAATAATTCATTCAAAACAATGGGTTCCACATGTGAATAATAGTCCGGCATATCTAGATCAATATAAATATGCTCCTAATATAGCACTGGCACTATTATACTGACAGCAAATTCACTGTATTTCAAACGTATATTTAGTGGTGTGAAATATTCCAACATCATAAATTAATGGTGAATCTGGACGAAGAATATTCTTTTCAGTAAATTCTCTTTAGGTTCTTACAATTATAAAATATAATATTTGTTACTGTAACAATAATGGCCAGTAATATGGTGGATTTATTTTCAAGTGGAATAACAGATTAGTTATGGGGTGACAAAGTAAATAGTATTTATTTGACAAACGTGCTGAGCTGAATATATTGCCATCAAGAATACCTTCAGTTTGCTGATAAGATGACAAACTTGAATGCTACTGACAAATGCATAGCATCAGTTAGTGTTTCATCGTTATTCACTCATGTACCTCCAGTGAAAATCATCAACTATATCTGCAAACATTTTTCACCAGCACTCCTATTATTAATGTGAAGCAAATGCATCTTAAATATAAAACGAATGCCCACTTCTTATTTAATGATCAAGTGTACAAACAGATTGATGGAGTCATCGTGTGATCACCACTAGGTCTTATACTTGCGAACAAATTTCTGGCAAACTAGAAAATGTTCGTTGAAATATGAAACGGCTGAAATGAAACTGGACTATCTTTACATGTATGATACTTTTGTAGTGTACTGTGAAGGTGTACGTAGTGATTTGATTTGAGCCCCTTCAATAGTACTCACCCACCTGTCCATTTCATCTGCGAATACAATAACTCTCTGCAGAAAGCTAGAAACCAGGGTTCAGTATTCACACTTCCTTGGCTTCGTACCTATGAAGTACAGATGCAATCTGATCAGGTGCTTAGCACTTAGAGCGAGGTTGATTTGCTCCGAAAATTGTGTAAAGGAAGAACTCCGAGTAATTTGGGACACTCTAAGCGAAAGCGGATATCCAGAGCAGTTTATGAAAGCCATCATAAGTTATAATAGTAGTAAACATGAACTTGCAGTAGTGGAGATAAATCCATTATTTTTGTGTCTACAGTTCAGAGGAGATACTGCAGTGGAGATTTTATCCCAATGTCTAACAGGAGCGATAAAGATTACTTTCTACCCCACAGGTCTGTTCCTCTCCTTTTGTAGCCGTCCAATGTTTAAGAAACTTAAGGACGTCTTACCTAAGCTCAGCTCTTCCTCATTCATATATTGCTTTAAATGTTCTTGTGGTTTAAGTTATATCAGGCGCATGATTAGACCGGTTTGTCTGCGTATTCGGAAACATTTACTCGCTTGGTTCAGCAATAGGGGAATCAAATAAACAAAAAGTTAGATTCTGAAATACTTGGTTGATGCTACACATCTCACCGACACCAGCATAGACTTCAGGGTAATATACTAAATTCCAAAGTCATTACCACGCATAGTACTCCTACGTATCCCACCTATAGCTAATGCTATTGCAAAAAGATCAAAACGAACAATTGGGGGACTGTTCCGCAGCCAAACATGGATTTGAATTAAACCACGAGTGCCTCCTCTTCTTATCCTTTTTTCTTTGGCTTTGCCTATTATAATTTATTATTTTTTGTTATGTTTTATACAGTCCATTCTAGCATTCATTCAATACTGTCGAATTTTTCGTTTATACTATCCAGATTTAATATTAGTAATATCATCTCTTTACTCAATTTATGACTTCACTTGTTTCGTTTCACCCATTGCTTACTGCATGACGAAGTTTCACTGCAGCCTTACCATCTCGCTTTCATGCATGTCACTTTGCACTAACCACTTGACACATTTTATAACCTTGAACTGAATTCTCAGTTTTCCTTCATCACAATGTATGAATTTACCCTAACTAATCACCACTATCTTCTATCATTTCACAAACTTTTTTGTACCTTTGCCAAACCAACACTACTGTTTATTTTGACACCCCACAAATAATCTGTTCTTTTACTTAAAAATGAATCCACCATATAATTAGCCATTACTGTAACAATAACAAATATTATATTTTATAACTGTTAGAACCTCAAGAGAATTTATTGAACAGAATGTTCTTCGTTCAGGCTCGCTTTAAAAATATTACAAACATCACGCTGATAACAATCATTGTAGAGCGAAATAGGTGTTGCGTGTATTCCATCACTTAATGCAATACCACAGCTTTTACAAAGTGATATCTACAGAATTCTCTTTCACACTACCACACAATTATACTGTGATAAGTCACATCTCTATTCTAAAATCCTCACTCTAATCTATGCGAAACAGCATTAAGCTTTTATAATACAAGGATTGATGTTATTTCCAAGTATTATTGCATTGCTCAACAACAGATTTCTTAAAACAGAATATTTGAACAAACTTTGATAGAAGAAGATGTGTGGATATCTGCTTGATGAAAAGAAGCTGATACTTAAAGTATTGATTTTCTGAGTACATACGTTGTAAAGAAAAGTATGGCTTTCAAGTAACGATAACGTAATGTTTTTAAGTGAATGCATTCTGAGGTTATTGGCACATATCTACGGAGGTACAAATCTGGCAAATACTCCTTGATGATGAGTGCCAACTAGCAGAAAACCTAGGTCCAAGGCTTCCTGCCGATTGCCTTCAACTATCTAAATTGTAACCTCCCCAAAAACCGCACACACTGTTCAAGAAATACATTTATTTTGACCAAAAATTAGAGTCACAAGTATATGTTAGCAAATAGCTCACAGTGTATGATCAATATATTTTAGCTCGCGGTCATAAGAGCAACATTTGAGTATTTTAAATATTACTTCAAGTAAATATCAAGACGTCAGATGATGTTACAAAAATAACAGGCCATTTTAGACAGAAACGTGTTTCACTTAACTTGCAATTCTAGGGTATTGCAGAAAACTAAACTGGAAAATAAGAATAAATGCAAACAATAGTTGCAATCACGATAACTGGTTAGCTGCTGGTCATAATTTACACACGACCGGTAGTGAACCCCAACAAAAAGATAAAGTAACTAGACTAGTTACATTTTCTCGTATCTGTCTACTTAACTAAGCTTGTAGAATGGGTGGAACTGGCCGTTTTTCTGAGAACTTAATTCTTCTTGCTCAGGAACAACTGCCAGTGTGGCTAAATAAAGGTGTAGTGAAAACCAATAACAGATTGATATTTGACCACCTGGTTCAAATATGTCTTATCTCTCAGGTGCCAGATAATTTGCCGAAAGCACCCAGGTACCGAACGCCCCAAGCATCAATGGCCATTGCGATTCTCTTAAAGCAACCAGTGCTCCGTTTGCAGAGGAAACAGGTCCAGCTAATATTGCTGCCCCGGCCTTCCATGGAATTTACAAATCCATAAATACTGTATTATGTAGGTATCACCTTCCATCCTTAATATGTAAAAATTTGTCTACCCCTTATTATTGCACTTGTATAAACAAGATAGTAAGAAGGCATGTAATGAAAATTCAGACAGCTGATATGAACGGAAGCAAGCTGGTTATCACAAAACTAATGATAATGATAACGAATGACTTACTTTAAGTGCTTATGCAATTAGTAAGTTCTTCAGGGTTGTTTGAAATGTAAATAGTTCTATGCAAAGTAAATAATGTGTTTGCCAACAGCATTTATTTCATTCACTGGTTATGGGTTAACACATGGATCTCTTGAAGATTAATTACCACTTACTTATTGGGTGAAAGGATTTCACCCTATCACTAGAACCTTTCTGATTATTATTGATATATATATATATAAATCGACTAATGTGGTCTATTTACTTAGTGCTAATTGTATTAGTTCTTTACTTAATCGAGTGTTTATCGCCAGTGTTAACATAATAATTCCAGAGAACATGGGTGGTAGATTACAAAATCTTCATACTGTAATGCTTAGAAAGACCATAATTATAGTGACAATTACTATATAAACATTCACATAATCACATTTTCAATTAACAAGAAACAAAGCTGACATAAAAGTGTATTTAAATAATTAGTTTATAATTTGGACTGATAATTTTATTGTCAAGAATAAGACTGTGCATAATGTTTACTTTGAATACTCTGTCATTGTGAACCTCGTGATATATTTATTTACCTAAAAGAAAGTAATCACATTGTAACTGAAAATGAGATCAACTGAAATACACATTTAACTAGAAAAAGAATTATAAATGCATGTGTACACAACTCACTCTAATGGGTATCATTCACGCAATAATAAATTAAAAGAACATTCGTGCTGTAAGACATGATTTTTTTAAATTAAGGAATTCAGTGTCTATTTATTAGCTAAGAGTACTAAATTTTGGAATATGCTCACTGAACAGCAGGGGTCACTTAATGAAATAAAAAGTGATGCGATATTCGTTTTCAACACACTTCAAGCCTACTTTACACAATTTACAGTGACAGCACTTCTCATTATCAACTGATATGCTATAATTGCTCAAGTACTTACATTTGAATTCTTCACCAGTTGATAAAGTGATCATGAGTAGAAGAGGTTTATGTAAATAGTTTGCTTTGGATATAACTATGAAATATATTATCTTCATCTCAGCAATTGTTGATTTCACACAGAACACTGTGGATTATTTCACAATTTATTTTATTTTCTGAAATATCAGAATACAACCTACTGAGGTAAAATAGGAGGCGAATTATTTCTTTGCATAATTTCTGATTTAAAGTTTAGTCCGAATTTTAAATAGTATTGTGTTTCCAGCCTGAAACAAAAACACATTTGCTGGCATTCAACCATGCAATTCTTCACTCAAATATTAGGATAGAATGAGAAAACTTAGTGCTATAAACAGTGTAAATTATGGGGATGGACGTTTGTTCAAAGCCTTAAAAACACCATTTTTTCCTTTATTTTGCTTTAGGTATTCAGCTGTCAACACTGCGATACATAGTATTCTAGAAAAAGACACTAAGAGTAACTGAAGCCTTTATTTCACACACTTTTCGAAAATGAATTTTAAGAATTTCTTAAGTGCTTAGTTTATAATGAGTACCAAAATAATACTGTGAATTCGAAAAAGGTGTACATTTTTACAATTAATGGTTGGAAATTACGACAACTTAACAAAATGTTTGTCAGAGTCGGATTAATAAAAATAAGACCTTGATAAAAACACTCAGGTATATTATCTGGAAGTTTTTAGCACTCAAGAAACCAAGTTTATTTAAAGTTTGTTTCGAGATATGTCGATAATGTGATGAGAAGGGTCTATTTTGACCGCCTTACTTAATGCCTCTACGAATAGACTTTTGTGCTCAACTATTCATGTAAATATTAAATGTGTAATCGTAGTAGCGTTGTCACAACAGTCTGTGATAGATCGAAAAATCACTTCACTTCAACAACAGAATCAAAATCAGAAGTGAAAATCTTTCTAAGGTCTTAAGAAATAGGGACTGAGATAAAAAAGAGGGTGTTAATCCTACTAATTCAAAATAACTCATAGCTTCATTTTCCTAAATTGTAAAAGGTGGTTAGCAGTTTTATATTAAAGCTCCGATAATGTTTTGCAGACTGCAGTCGCAATTAGAGCATTGAGATTCTTGAGAATTATGATTTCTTATGCTGCTCACTTTATTGTGGAACATTCTGTTTTCTAAATAAAGAAATATCACGACAGGTAAAGAGCAGAAAGTACTTCGTTTACAAATGTGAAGCATCATTACACTGCATTCAAGTATAGTTTAAGCGTATATAAAACATCGTTGATAATATTTGCAGAACGAATATTATCTAACACATGTAAGTTATTTATTTATTCAGTTATTACTATTTAGAAATATTATATGAAATCTTTATATCTCTAAAAATGTAAAATTTACTTACCAAAAGTGGGACTTATCTTTAAGGCAGCCAGAAATCTGTCTCTAGTAAGCATACCTGTTATATCCAGGGACTCTGGGAAAGAAATTGTAATATTTAATAATTATGGATACAGATAATATAAACTACTGAATGAAATATTTTGATAATACTAATTCTCAATAACTCCTTGTTTGTTTACATTTTGCCTAACGTTTTACCATTCCATATGCAAATTACCTAAATAGATCCAGATTTCGAATTCATTATTTAGGACTCTAATTATTTATCTTTATAACAGAAATTTGTAGTTGAGTAGAAGTCACTGTACAGAAAACCAATTTTATTGTTGTCATCTAAATGTATAAAAACACTAACATAACAGTTTTACAGCCTCGTTTGTAAAGACCCAAATATATACCTACGCAATATGATGGGGGAGTTTTGTAGTTGGGATGGATGTTTTTGATATGGGTGAGTTTTCGGAGCTGAGTAACTTTCACTGTCCTTTCGGATAATATCCCTAAGGCTTACTTCAGTGTGAAGTGACGTATTGAGATTTCCTATGAATGATATAACTGCCTCCCATGATGACTTTGTTTGTAACTGGTAGTCTTCAGAATTTTTCTTAAAATTGCTTTAATTTGTGTAGATGTCACTCGATTCATTGGTCCGGAATTCGACCTTTTTGTTACCATTACCTTATGACATGTTGATGAATTTGTTCTTTTGCAAAACTGAGTGGAGAATGATCTGAGAAATAAGCTTTTTGGAATTCATTAGCATTTTTAGAATTTTCAATGCTTAAGAGTTTCTCATTTCCCCTGGTATACTGATGTCCATAGTTATCTACATGCATTGATATAAAGGAATACATGCTGCCTTTTTTGACGACTAGTTTATGTTTTCTGATTCAATGTTAAAGGCGTAGTCCATTTTGAACTATATAATCCTTTTCTACAGTTGATGCGACCTATTTGGTGGGTCACGTAACCTTAATTTCTTTTCTTGTTGAGTGTTTTGGACGCGAGGCTTAGCGCTTATCCAACTTTACGTCAACAGCGAAAGTTACTCAATGAATACTAAATACTCTTAAAAACATTCATATAATTATTCTACCTGATAAACTTCCTACAATAATGAAAAAGAAACAGAAATGTTTATTTAGCTTACTCGTGATATATATCCACCTTTGGACGCGGATGTGGTGAATATGAAAGCGTATTACCATTGCTGGAAATCATGCTGGTTATACCATCACATTGATGGTTAAAAGTGGAAAAGAAAGAAAGTATGAATTAAGCGTTTGAAACAGGATCATATAAGGTGAATAAGCGTAAAACATAAAACTAAGGGATGTTTAGTAAGCTGTCACACTCAGTTAACAACATTCTGTTTTTCAATTATAATTTTTTTTAGAATTAAAGATAATTTTCCAACAAATGAATAACTAATATAGCAGATCAACAAAATAAAAAGATGTGATAATTTAGAAAAAATCACCAGTGGTTAGGCAAATAAAGAATGAACAGGGATTATAGAATAATGAACGGTAGTTTCGTTAATTTCTCAAAAGTCACAAAGAATAAGCCAACTGGCCTTATTCCCATAGTGGAAACACAACAAAATTATTCTTTTGACAACATTCCACAACATACTGATAGTTCATACTGACTAAAAGTTAGCAAACGATTGGTGTAATTTCGATGTCAAACTCCACATATCTCTATAGAGCCGATGATGAGGAACTAATAGAGAAAAAAATGCATTTATCCGCTTTGTTTTGTTGTCTTATCTAAATGTGTAAATTCGAATTTTCAAAATAAGAAAAGTACTTTGTGGCTATAACTTGACTATACTAGAAAACATGAAGCTTTTACTTTCATTATGAACAATAATTTTCAAACAATAAGACATTAGAGATTTAAAATTACAACACAAATAAACACAAAAATAAACAAACGAAAATAATAGGAATTGATATGGTTCTGCCTTCATCTAGAAAACTCTGCTGAACTGCTTAGATGTTGAAAAAATATGGATGTATAACGTATTGCATAAATGTTGAAATTGAATCTGAGGGCTTAATCTAATCTGATTGAGCATTCACTTGATTATACCAAGAAACCATTCTACACAAGTTTCCTCTACAACCTACGTAGAAATAAATGAAGCTTTAGGTAGATAAACACTTTGAAAGGTAATCAGTGATCACTGGCCTAAAAACAATAGGAAAAGAAAATTGGAACATATCGCCTTGTTATTTACCCTATTATCAAGAGTTTACTCAGCAGAAAATAGCAAATCTGTGCCTAAGTAAGCATAAAAGATATAACCATGCTTGTTGTTCTCTGAGCTCTTTAGTATTTAGTCATAATAGCAGTTGGAAAGCATTAAACAAATACTATGTTCCAAATGGTGCAATAATATTATTCGCATCTAAAGCAAAGAGAATCCATCTAGAAGACAAACACTAATTTTATCGGTGGAAATGCATAAATAATGTCTAGTGAACTCAAGATTAGCTGCATTTCATCGTAAGCAATTGTTGTTAAGTATTCATAAAAATAAGAAACATGAAAAGGTATAGTAAAACGCAGACTATTCAGTTTATAAGTTAACTTTAAATACCGTGTTTCTAACATAAGATTTTGTTAGCTGTGGAAATTTATATGACTTAGGGATTACCTGTAGGTTTATATAATCCACTTTTAAACTTTAGTTAGTAATCCTTTAGAGATAAGATTCAAATGGTTTTAACCTGTAACAAACATTTTATGTCAAACTTTGGAAACAAACTTCTGTCTAACCAGAAGAATATGAACTTATAATACTAGAAAACCACGTTCTACAAGAATGTTGATGGGTATTTTGAAAAAAATATATGACAAATTTGAATGATAATACAAGCAGATGAGGATTTAAAACTGTTTAATATGTACTAAGGCGCTATACATCTATTCACCAGGTATAACTCTTAAATGATATTTAAATGCACCACAATATAAACAAGTAAGGTTTTTAGTGGGTGGATCCTTCTAAATCATTATACCTAAAATCTAATTACCACATCTGTATTCTATTTAACTCAGTAAAATTTCGCCTGATTAACTCATTTGAATAGCACTGCCCAGTTTTTCCCAACAGTTGTAAATAATTTCAGTAACAATTGCATATACCTGTTCTTTTTCACAAATAAATGCTGAACGACTTAGTTGGTGAACTTGTACATAGCAGGGTGTTTAAAATTTATATACAAGGTTGCACTCTTCATACTGCAGGAGTCAAGTGATTTCCAATGATGGTAATATTTTTGGTGTTGTTTACTTAAGGTATATCTGAGCAAAAAAGCTCGGCGATCGGATATCACCAGACCATAATATTTTATTCAATAGATTCGTATCCGCTCTGGACAATCTGTAATGTCAGTACACAACACTTACATAAAAATATCCGCTAGCTTAAAGGAGTGATATGAAGTTTTTTAATACAAATGACATATAGTTGTGGGGAATACAAGTATGGGAATGTGATAAAAAGATGTGGTAACCAGTCTCTGCTATCTATCCAATTCAATAAACATTTCAAAATAACTTGTACGCATAGTAATGAAAAGTTCTGGCATGTAGAACGGGCAATTACTAAGTAAAGGCAAAAGACCGACCTTTAGTGAATTATTCCTGTAAATGCGTTATGAATTGCGGTCTTTTTAAACTGGCATGAGTCGAAATCGGTGAATTCTATAAAATCTAACAGTGTTCCAACTACTGTTACCCTTCTGTTCAGATTCATGAGACAGAACATGTCTATAAACCCCAACTCATTTCTGAAATGATACAACGGCGTGTACAACAAATTAAGCAAACTTCAAAGTTTGAAAAAACATTGATTACGCGATTCCCAGTAAACATAATGATAAATCTGAATCACATTAAGCATTACTGTTATTCACTCACTCAGGTTCTACTAAAGGCTCAACGGAAAATGTTTTACGAATTGGATACGGAGAAGGACTGCGTGGATGGTAAACCTCTCGAACCGATCTATAGCAGTTGTCAGTCAAAACATTTACAAATAAATCATTAAACACAGTGTATAATCTAAAGCAGTGATAAAAACTTCCCGAAAACAAATGAATACTCATAGACCTTTTAAACTCCACATTTTTACGTTACTTACACCAGATCAACACCAAAACATTAGTGTGAGATATTATTATTCTGAAAACTGGACGAAGATAGGTAAGAGTGTTCAAATTTTGAAAGTGATTAAAAATGAATTCATATATATATATATATATATATATATATATATATATATATATATACAGCACTACCTTCGAAATGCACCAGCTAATAACTTCTGTATTTCATACATCCCAGTTAGACAACCTTCATCTTGCAAAATGTCTGATATCAATAGATGAAGACTTCATTCATTAGCGTCATGTTTTCAAATGACTTTTCTTAACTTTTTCTAAAACCAACCCTTATGCACAACATCCTAATTAAAAATTAACTGATAGTGTATTATCAGTGATGATGACCATTCCATGAAAAAATTAGAATTATCAAAACTTTAAGTCATATCAGTCAGTCCGTTTCATAACTCAAAAAATGCATGCATATCTGATCTTCAAAAGTAGATAAAATGTCAACACACGAAAGTGTTAACCATGACACTGTATGCAATTCTCTGAAGGTGAATTTAATAAAGAACAGAGACAGAATGAAGAAAAACACCAAATTTAATTGGTGGATGGTCACTAGCAGTGGAATCCAGGATGCGCATTTCGTCCTATTTGGGACTCGTCAGCTGGATGTATCTGCATTTCTCAGTGAGTGATGACGTTCCCACCGAGGCTCGAACCCATTACGACCCAGCCGACATGTCAACCTGAGATCGAGCACTTCAGTCCAATCAGTCGATGGGAAAATCAAAAATTCAATTCAATAAAAAACACCAAATGTTACAAAAAGAATGACCCTAAGTAACAACACAGTTAAAGACTAAATAGTTTAGTCCGAACAGTGGTCATTTTCCTTCATTAATTTCTTTTTAAAATTGGAGGGTTGATACGAACTAATTTTGAAAGAACTATGATGAATCCGTCTAGAAAAGGAATACTGTAACAGATACTTCTGTAAAAGAACTAGCAAACCAGACAAAAATTCACAACAAATAAAGGTAATTTTTTCGATTGAGCAGAAAAGCTGAGTCGACCACAACAAAATAAGTTGCAACAACTGAACCAGATACATGAGTCACACAGCTAGTCACGATTGTGGAATATGTCAACCAAAAGCACCAACTGAACAGAAGAACAGAGTCAAACCATTCATTACTTGTATACAACATGGACAAAAATCGGTATAGATTTAGATTATTTAAAAACATTTAAATAATATAAAGTAGAAAGACTGGAATGTTATCGGAAGTTAAACACACAAAATGACAGTTCACCTCAAATCACTGCACCCTTAACCAAAACTATTTTCTGGCATTTGAAGATATGGGTGATAAGTTACGCTTTACGAATGAAAGTATTTTTCATGTACTTTCAGTAGAAATAAGGTTTCAGACAAGATGGCATATTCACTTGGTAATGACTATAAAAGCAAGGAAACTACGGTTAGTGGTCACCATCATCATATTGGAGTTTAATAGAATTGATTCAAACGAACAGTTGTTTAGGTTTTTTAAATATAAAGTATACACTTGCCTTATTTATAAAATTATTTACTCACCTACGATAAGGAGACTCCAGTGTTCGATAATAAGATGGTTCATACGTTGTTGTTGGATATGGCCTTGAATAAAGTGATAAACATAAGATACAATCCAAGAGAAATAAGACAGAAAATAACAGTCTCACAAATATTCACAGACAGAGGAAACAAAAGTCTAGATGTTTCAAAAAGTGAAACATAAAGACGTTTCTGCAACATGAAACAATTACAGCCTATACGACTATCGTGTCTTTCACACACCTGAATAATATTTCCCTCTCTTCAATTTTTTTAGATTAAGAACAATTCAATCAGTTTGTTTATTCAGGAATGGTGTCTATGAAATTGTTTTTTTGATTTTCTTAAGTCAGATGAATTATAAAACACATTGTTCGAATTATATTTATATGTATGTATACTGAGGCAAATCTTAAACCTATGAGCGATACAGCCGTAGCTTATTTGACTGCAAGACTAGGGATAAGCTATTTCACCTGCTTCTCTATTAAGAACAGCTCTCATGAATATTTATTCTTTACGGACATATCCGTATGTAGTTATTTTAGTTGCAGAAATTTCGACAGGAGCCACTAAAATCTGTAACATGGGACAAATTCAAGATATACTCAGCAGGGATTCATGGAATCAAGTATTATTACCGATGACGCATTTCAGTTTTGATCTTGAATTTCAATATAAACAATATTCTGGGAAAACGTTTGTAAGGTGCCTAATTGAACAATAGCCACTCTGTTGACTTAAGCTGTGATGAGGCTTCCATTCTGCACCGCTTAAATCTCAGGTAGTTTAAGTAACTGAAGTCTGAACACCGTCTTACGTATATGGTTTTATAAATAACATCACTTTGTTGTACGATCCTCTTTAAGTCTCACTCATAAAATAAGAATGTCTGACAGATATTCTCCTTTGTATTTTATTGCTCACCTAGCTAACAAATGTTTATGCATTTAATGAAAAAATAAAGCGATCATGATTTAGTCATAATATTGGTTTGACAGTATCACTACAAAACAGCCAAAATGTTAGTTGATAAGCACTTATACCTTTCAGACTTTATATAATAAATGAGCAGGTTAAATGACCTGTTTTAACTTCCCAACTAATGTCTGACCATTCATACTGCCCATATCTTCATATTGATTCGTGACCGCTAACTACAGCATAGTGAAATATATCGTATAGTGAATACTTGGAGCTTTCCAACTTCTTTTCTCTCTTCACCACCTCCAGAAAATTAGATAATTCCGAAAATCACTCATAAATAATCAATAACTGATGCATGCATATGCAAAAGACTTCTCTCTCAATTCATATGAAATTACTCTAGTTGCATAAAACTTAACCTATAAGTGAATTTCATTTTCACTTCAGTTACTCAATATCGTTTCCCAGTGTTACGCAAACGATAGGAACTTAACTAAAGTAGTGTTTATCTACAATGACATCACTAACTGCGTAGCAATGGCCATCGAAAATTTGGCTGATATGGAACGGAGATGGTAGGCTAAATGATAAAGCTTCATGTTAAACAAATCGAATTCTTAGTCAGCGTCTAAAACTATTATTGTGGCACTTAGTCTCACTAAAGTATTAAGTCTTCATTTTTTTTATCACTCCGTCATCTCACCATTCTTTCAGTCAAATAAAGAAACTGTGGGTATTTGGAGAATATCTATTGAAAGTTGTACAACATGATTGCCTTCCTCTTTGTTGATGACTAGTTAGTGCTCAAGTCAACAGCTTTGTTCACTTTTATTTTCACTTCCTCGTTTTGATGAATAGAACTAAACTTTTTGGTGAAAACCAAATAACATATATATGATATTGGACACCTGTCAATAAAATGTTCTCCATCAAGTGATTTATTGTACACACTCTTCGAACTATTTCCAAATTAATGAATCACTCACCCTGGAGCTATAGGCGCAGTAGGCACGTAAGTGGTGTGCGGACGCCTTTCATATGTTTCGTATACTGGAGTTACATAAGGCCTTCAAGAAAGCAAAAAAAATATCATAAAATTAGTTTGTTATATATTCAGTAAAAATATTGGTCACAGTTTAAAATAAAAAACGTGAAAACTAACTTTAACTATTCTTGAACTTTGAATGGTTGAATTCCACGAGTATTATCATAAAATCGATACGTAACATATTATGTCATTCGTGAGTGCATTATGGTATTGTTTTTTTTCTTAGTGTTGTTTGGATGATACTTTAGGGTATCCCTTGCACATTAGCATAAACAATTTTGTACATCCAAACGAACAAACAAATAAATGATACTGTTTTAGTGATGTTTCACGATTTTATGAAAATAGCTTTATTGAAGTAATATGCTACTACTTTATCATTTGTGGTCCAAATTAGCATCCCCTTTGACCTAGACAACTCAGAGACTCCATATATGACTGGTGTAACTATTTTACTAATAAACAGTTAGGTTCAAAGCAGCTATAAATTCTACGGTATAAAAGATTTCCTAGTTTCCAGATAACTAAAGCTGATGTCCAAATGATATTACTCAAAAATGAGTGAACAAAGGTTTTTCCGACATGTCCGTGCCACTTTGTTAATAAATTAGATGATTGAACTACTACTACTTTTACGGAAATGTACAATATTCATATGAAAAGCCTAGTATGTTTGATATGGACACATTAATGGTGAATAACCCCTATTTAGTTCTCCGAAAGTAATCATGCCTTTTACCCGGACCAACGAAGAGATAAATTACAAAATATGCTTGTCAGTGAAATATACATTCTACTCAACACATTATTACATTGCTTTGAAAATGACGAATAGCTTACGCTGGAGATACCGGAGGAAGTGATCGATACGTGGTAGTCGGATAGTTGTTATAATATGGGTCATACGATGGTGCTGTATAAGGCCTATAAGAGAATGAAATTCAATTAATATTAATTAGACTAAAAAAATTAGTTTCCATGGAAAAATATTTTATAAAAATGTAAAATAAATTCTGCGAACTTCATGTTTCACCCCACGAAGCTTCCAGTGTGTGGCATAGTTACATGTTACTTCTGCTATCATTTTCTTCTAAATCAACTTACACAAACTTGTCAAAGTTCATGAGAACAAATTAATTTACCCTCACTTTGCAAAATATAAGATAGCTAAGCTGTGATTGTCAGTTAGAATGTTGTTAAAAAAAAGAAATATTTTGTGCAACTTGAATTAATTAACATTGTGTTCTCTCAAAAATGAAGTAAACCAGGGAAAATAGAAGTGGTTGAATGAAAAAGAGTTGCCCAAGCCTATTCACATATAAGATATTACAGTGTGCTGCTTTATTGGTTTGGCCACGATTTGATATCCATTGGAGAACCACTGGAAAGTCGAGGATTACCAGGCAGCTTTTTCGACCTAGTCTGGGATCCATCGAGGTTCAAACCTTTCACTAGCTACTAGATCAGGTGCCAGTAGCTGAGACGTCTACAAGCTCATATTGTTAGTTGAAGGTCCTGGGTTTGAACATCAGTGGATCCCAGACTAGGACAAAATAGCTGCCTAGTAATCTCTGATTTTCCAGTAGTTCTTTAACTGATGTCAGCTCATAATCAAAATTTAACTAATCAAATCCCTGAAAGCCGATACCTGGTAATACTATTTAACGTCTGATAATTGATTTTAATTAAACTTATGAAAGATAACAATTCCTCACATGGAAAATGCAAGTACATTAAATACATTTTCCACAAGTGTCTCTTCGGGATTAAAATCAATAAATATGTTAACCATATATAATCCCATACAACTTGTTAAAATAATATGCTGCCATGTTTGGTTGAGTGAATACAATGAGAAAATCAACAACTGAGTAATGAAACAAATCATTAAGGAATAACTGTATGAGACGAAAATCGAAAATGCCCTATATACACCTGATGTTTATATATATATATATATATATACATTAGAAATAAGCTGATTTACCTCGAACTTCTTGATCTTCTGTAATTGTAACGATAGTCGTCCTAACGGATAAACAACAGAGAAATAAAACATGCTGTCTATCAGCGATCCAATGAGTGTAAAAAGATGCTTTGTGTGTAAAAAAGAAGAAGAAAAGAAATGCATTCCTCTGTAAACTTTAACCAAATTTACCATGAATTCTGGTTCTAAATAACATCTTTAGGATGAATCGACCAGTCAGTGAAGATAACAAAATGATTCTGTCTAAATTTTTGACAAGTGATTTCGCTTTCGCTGCAGTAAGATAAAACAACTTGGAAGTTTGCAGGCCTTTTTCACACTTCAATCGAAGTCTTAAGTCAACAATTCGAAATATTTTCAAACTGCGTAATGTATCGTGCATAATGATTCGAAAGGAAAAATAATAATTTTTATGTAGGTAGTGTTATGTGTACTGTTTTAGTTGCTTTCATTTGTTCTATATATATATATGTTCCTGATTAATACTTCGAATATTAAACAAAATTTGATCAACATAACTTTTATACCCCACAAAGTAGATGGCAGCCAATTTTTTTTGAATACATTATTGATACTTGTAGATCTAACTTAAAGAAAAACTGCACTGGTTTTTCATGTTATTCATTTATTTGTTCTGTATTACTATCATCAGTTCAAGTTCTATTGACTATGAACACTGCTCCTCACTTAAGAAGCAGTAATCTCCCGATAACAAAATAATCACAATCTACAAAGTTCAAACAAACTATATGTAAGCACAATCTGTGAATAAAAAGGCAGTATATATATATATATATATATATATATATATATATATATATATATAGAACACAGATGCTGCGAATTTCCTGCATTAACTTCGGTGTTGCGTTGGACTAAATCACTGTAAAACCACTTAAAATAATTTCTGAGTGCTTAGGAAATTTGAGGAATTTGTATGTTCCTTTTAAACAAGCTGAGATAATTTCAGGTAATGTTAATATATATAGGTATACTGGAGACATCATTCCAAAGACAAACAAATAGATCTGACTAAAGCAAATATGGTTGCGTCGGTGGCACAGCGGTAAGGGCGCTCGCCAACCACGTACATGGTCCGGGGTTTGATACCCGACCGACGCATTCCCTTACCTCGCTAGGCTAGTAATAAGACTGGCAAAGAGGAAAGGGTTGGCATGAGGCCAGCAACCCCATCCTGTTAAACTAAACACTGCTACAGAAACTTCAAGCCACTAGCTTAAAGCCCTATGTTCCACTGGGAACGTGAAAGAAAATAAAAGCAAATATGGTGACAGCTTCTAGAACGTGGGACCGTGGAAACAAAAGGATAAAAGTCTGTGGAACAGACAAGTACATATCTGAAATGTCAGGCTGATTCAAAGCCTTGAATAAATAAGTAAATGTATTAAAAACGAGGTAACAGCTTATGAACTACATTATTCGTCCCACCCTTCAAGCATTGTTAGAATGTGGTAGTAAAAATATTCATAAAATATTATAAACCGTCTTCGAGTAAGAAATTAGTTTCTACTATTGGAACTCGCGAACTCTGTATTCCAGAAATATCTTTATATAGCAAGTTGCTTCATACGCATTCAGCATTGCTATACTTGATTTATATGCTGATGACAACTAAAAGGCATCAGTTTCCTCAGTGAATATTATGGATTTCTGATAGAAAACATGCGGATTTCATGAAAGCAAGATAATTATTTTATGAAATAACACAGAAGATAAACCCTAGAAACCTTTCATAACCTAAAAATAAGCTGACAACTTTAAAAGGCGTTTCACAATAACATAAGTGCGGTCATTCTCAGTTTACATTTTCACCTCTCAACATTTTATTTTAACTGCAGTGTTGTGATAGGTTTAGTGTTTAGTCGGGGTTCACATTCATAGATCACTGAAATTTAAGATCTAACTCTCCGCAAGGAGCAATGCTTTTGCTTTTTTATCGTACCCTAATGTAATTCAAATACCTTGTCTATACTTTGTGTTCTGTGTCTCTGTGTTTCTGATGAATTCATTTGCTATTGTTTGACTTCATAAGCCTGCTACTTCAGTTTTACTCATTGTAAAGTGCAATCTATTCGAAACTTCTTCCACTGTAGAATGACAGTCACTTGTTCTGATGTCAATCAATTCTCAATCTCCCCACTGTGTGTGAGTATTCACTTCTCTGAACAAGAGATTTAGAAATTATTCTTAAGTACTTAATCAGTAAACCGCAAAAGTAGTTAAGGGCCCTTTGGGCGGAACTTACTTTTTCATTGGTTTCCATACAAGTGTAATTTACCGCATAAGTTATCATTCATGGTTTCACTAAATTTCTTTCCTATAACTTAATGCGTGATTTCATGACGTACAGCAACTTGAACTGCTGTGCTTTTTCACACAGCTTGAAGTCAAAATTCAGTCACTCAGTCGAAATGGTAATCAGTCTATGTACCTGTACAATAAGCACTTAAGTATCTTGTCAATGTCAGTGAAAGCTTGTATCATCTGCAGGGATGGATGAATGTTCTTGGTGCCTCAGTTAACCTGCGCTCAGTTTTTCCAGATTTTCTCTGATCAGATAAATTTACAAAATGATGTAACTCCTAGTAAGGACGTAAGCTATTTTAGACAAATATATTATCAGACTTCAAAATAGTAGCATAGAAGCATAACTAAAGAAGGTTAAACAAACCAAATTTCATAAGAATGAGTATACCAAAGGGTGGAATAAGGCAATTAAAATTAGGAAGATTATAAACTATTACGAAGGTAATGGTGAGAATATATATCTTCAGTAACATATATAAATATTGTTCCTATTTGTAAGAGTTTCCATTGATTGATTTATCACATCTCAATTAGTTTTACAACTCAATTTTCAGCTTCTAACTTAAAGGGAATCAATAATTTGCCAGGGTTGTGTACTGCTTTTTTCTAGCTACTTTCAATGTATCAGAAACTTAAATGTACCAATTACTCCCAGTCTTCTGAAATTGCAAAAGTCGCCAGACGTGTGACGTATTTCTGTTACTAAAGATTTAACGCTTTTTTGGCTAACTAGCCTTTTTCATTAAACGTTTTCTGCTTAAACGCGGATTTGATGGTTGTATGAATTTTTCTCAGTGAGCTTAAAGACATTTGCTTCAATACTGATTAGTACTGATTTTAATAAGGCGGTTATCGGTCTTGTGAGCATCTCACTTAAGTTAAACGTTTTTTTGAGAACACCACAAAATTTGAACTTTCATAGTGACTGAAGGTAACTTATCATCAAAACTAAAGTTTTTGCACTGGCGTGCTTTTTTCTGGTACTGTGAGCCCACTATCACTTTCACGTTTTATTAACAAATCTTTAATTGAATAGTCTGAGTAAAATTCTATAAAAACTGTCAGAATAGAATTAGTTGGACTTTATGGATTATTTGTTGCACAAAAAGATTAAGTATTTACCAATGAAGAAATATAGGAAACACCTATAAAATTCGCTAAATGGTATCACGATTGTAAAGATAAACGCCTGAAACATAAGAAGACAATAGTTTCATAAGTGCGGAGTATTGTTTCCTCCTTATTAGCCTGCTTATTATACTTTTAGTGGTGAAGTTCTATAGTTCTAATAAGGGACCTTATATAATAAGAGACCAGATTTAAGCTATAAAGTCAAAGTAAACCGTTGCTTAGCACAACAGGTGGATGATCTAGAAATCGTTTGAGTGCTTAATTAAATTAACTACTGACCATTATGCATGCTAGTGTTAAATCAACAGCAGGTCGTTAAACATAAATGATTTATGCTAATATGTAAAACTCAACAAAGGATACAGACGGATGTGTATAACGTATTTTTTCTGCATCAGACGATATGTTTAAAAAGTAACTGAACATACCGATAGTCTTGTTTGATATAAGTGTACAACTTGGGCACTGTGGTAGAGCATAACTCCATTATGGATAAGATTTTATTTTGATAAATCACACAGTGTTATGCAGTAATATTAACTATGTGAGTAACTTGATATGATTATGAGCAGTAGTTTTACTCGAAACGTCATCAGTTAATATTACTGTACAACACTGTGTGACTTATCAAAATAAAATCTTATCCATAATGGAGTTAGTCTTGTTTGATTAGGTGATAGACTTACAGAAGCCTAAATGCATCCCACTTGTGCACAGTATCTTCTGATCAAGTGCCAAAATAAACCTGGATTCACAAGTTATTACGGGTTCTGAACACATAATTTATTGCCTAATTACATAGTATAAATGAAATTAATATGGCTATCGACGAGAATCATTAAATACCGTGTTTATTAGGTGTTCAGAAAAACTTAAGAATATACCGAAAATATAACCATAAAAATTTCACATTACCCTAAAATTTCAAACGTTTGCTAGTATCCCATGCCGTTTGAAGCATGAATACTGTTAACGTTCCTAGAACCCAAAAAATTCAAGAATCAGCTTCCTGACTACATGCTGCAAAGTAAGTCAAGTAATAACATTAAAACATTGGTTGACATAAATATAAATACTGCAACAAATACACTAGATTTTACGTTGGCGTTATGTGAATACAGCAAACAGGTGCTCGTAAATACATCTTACATAACCAGTCATACAAAAATCATTCCTTTAGGAACTTTGTTTATTGGAAAACTCACCAGCAAACGATTGTCCAGATAACTAGAGTAACGGTGACTCCTCCTGCGACAAGACATATTAATGCGTCTGAGAGGAAGGAGCTCGAATACTTATAATAAAATTTCAAATTGTTGCGTTGGAATTTCTCAAACAACGAATTTAAACACAATGCCTTTTTAAATTCAACACTGATCTCTCTCACTCAATTGTGGAAACAGTATCTTCAAAGAGATATATATAACTAAAATGTTTATTTTTTGGGGCATGAGTGACATTCAAGCAATTTCACTAAACGAATCAGTCCGTATATTTTCGTGTTTTTCTAAATCAACCATTGCAGCTTCATTTCCTTTGGCTTCTTCCATAAGAAGGGTAAGGTTTCTCACGGATATCCACACTTTAGTTCAGTAACTGTGGTCAGTGCACTAACAATGCCCTAGGATAACTTCTAACGACTCAATCAGTTCAAGTTCTGTTTGTTCATAAAACGTTTCAGGTTCATATTATTTTGGAGATAACGTCATAAGTTTAACACATGCTTAGACAATCAGATGCAGTAGATATGTTTTTCCTAAGAACATAGTGACCAGTAAGCTTCTGTTGTCTTAACAGCCTGTGAAGTTATACTGCACTAAGCAAACGAGAAGTCACACTGAAGTGCATTGATCATCGGATATTTGATACAATTTGAATTCCTATAACGTTAGCTCAGTAAAACTCCAGAAGATATATTATTACCGTAATTGGCACAGAATGTTTCGTTAGCTCAATGGATGATTTCGACAGACATCATTTACTGAATGGAGGCACGGATGTCTACCTGCATCTTACTTTCCCTTGGTCCTTGGACAGAGTTGGAGGAGGCTTCACCGTAGACTAGGTTGGACGGCGCTAAGGATTCAGCAAATTTTGTGAGCAGATCCAAGGTGTGGCAATATCACATACATAGACGGTTATTAGAATTCTCTGCTCTCTCATAAGTACCAGTCAAATCACTTTATACCTCTTGGAAACCTCTTGTGTTTTCTGAAACTTATTCCATCATCTATCGATTTCATTCCACTAAGCAAGCTGAAATTTCACACGTGCGAATTCAAAGTTTCAGGACAATTAAACATAGAGCCGGACCATACTTCCTCTTCCATTAGCTCGAATATTTCGGTCGATTTTACTCAGACGCCTGTTTTGGCGGAAGTATTTAAACTAACTGGTTATTGTTATTCCCTTGGGTTCCGAGTGGAAAATAGGGCTTCAATGACATTGCTGTCCTCTTCATCTGAGTGCACGACTGACCATAGTCTCTCATTTCCTCCTCACACTGTTTTCTCCGTGTCAGCCTCACAGTGACGACCCACTCGTCGTTTGCCATTCAGATTTCCATCAATATCTTGGCACACGGAATCATTCGATGGCCCTCTCAACGTAATCTCGATCCATCACCATTTTCCTTTTCATGTCTGTCGAGCAATCGGATCCTGGTTGGCTTCTTCTCAGGCAGAGTTTCTTGACGCTAATTCTTCCTGACCAGGTAGTTATTTGGTCTTCAGAATAGAGCGAAGGCAGCTGTTGAGAAAAGTTAGTTACCTGGTCGAAATGCCCTTCGTGACACGCGGTGCAAGATTCTAACTCGTATGGAGGAACTGACTGACTTCATATTTGTGCTGAAAATCCACATCTCATTCTATACGCTGGCTGAGTGCATATTTCCGAGCTGGTTTCAGGTTTATGAAGGCGTATCATGCATTTTTCGATCCTGGCCGTATCAATGTATTTGAAGATTGAAAGATCAATTCATGGTTGTTTGCTCAAACCCAACTCCTCCATATTTTTTTCGGGAGTCATCAATCCAGCAGTCATCGTCTCATCATTTGCTGTTCAGTGGAATACAGAAGATTATCAGAAGTATTATCGTGATTTATTGTTATAACATTTATTCTTAGGCTTTTTCTACAACGACTTAATGGTTGGCTCTGCATTGGTGCAAGAATAAACGCTTCTTGAGTCACCAATCCGCGTTTTAGTTTTACGTCTTATTTATTACGCGTAGTTTCTGAAGGTCTTCCAAGGACAACGTGAGGTCCAGTGTAGTAAGACCTGGACATTGACACGCTGGCTATAACATATTGACCCGTTCCGCCTGTTGTTGAATCTATGCTTCTTGAATAGGTGAAGTAAGTGACTTCTGCTAAATCTCTCCCGTTGATGGTGATTGGTGCTGATTGTTGTTGCGGTTTGGTGGTTATCTTCATCACCTCAATCTTCCCCATGTTCCCCCAGAGTCCTGTCTCCACTGACTGCTTCTTCAGCCAGTGTGTTGGTTTTCTCCTACAAGCATTCGAGTCTATGTCACATTAAACATAAATCACCTACGAAATCCAAATCTTCTACAGTCTCCTTATCTGTCCGGCAATGGATAAAGGCACACACGACCTTTTGGAGAGGCTGAGCACCTCAAGGTCACGTATGCATATTGTGATTGGTAGATTTTACTTTGCGTAAACGCTGCGGCTAATGCGTAGCACACGTTACTGAGGCGGGCTTTGAAATGATAGTAATAAAAGCCGCATAAACATTACATTTTTTCAGCTTAAGGAGACAAGTTAATGCATGTATAGATTTTACAGATGTGATATGCATGTAGACCCACTAAAAAAGAGAATATTATTCGGTAACTTAATCAAAGAACCATGAAGTTTGAAGAGCAAAGTTCAACAATAGCGTCCCAAGGGATGCGAACGCACGAGTGACCTTCAGGCAGCCAATCATAAAAATGAGGAATTTTTGCACGAAAAATGACGTATATTCACAAGAAAATGCATGAAAACACATTAAACGGATTATATTTCTCCGATATGACTTAAAAATACGTTCCAGTTGCGATGAAGAGTATCAGTTGCTAATTTGGACTAGTTTCTGTAGATGTATTCACCAAAGTGACTGATGGTGTGCTGTTTTGGGAATGGTTCATCTCTCTTCTCTTGCTGTGTAGTCCTCTCCTAAGCCCTCGGTTTAGTTACTATGGTTCCAGTAAGAGCATTGGCGACTACATACAAGGGAAATAAGGATAATAAAAGAACTTGAAATAAACGAAAAATCTATTCCTAATAGCTACCCTAACCTTAACCCTAAACCCTAACCGTAACCCTAACCATTGTGCCACCGACGCACACAATGACCGTAACCCTAACCACAATACTCGCCTTAACCCTAATCCTAACCCTAACGAGATGTTAACACATTGTCCAAACAGTAATAAAAGTGTTATCTGGGTGAAACGTGCTCCTTATTTGATGAATAGTGTTGATATTTCAGCTATGATAATGACAGGAACCGTTAGCCAACGACTAGCATGCGTTCAAGGTCTTTTGAGCGTTGAAGGTTTTGGGACGCTATTCTTAAACTTCGCCGTTTGAAGATTTGGTCTTTTTCAGTAGACTGTAACGGACAGAGAGGAGAGGCATTTGTGTAATATTTGCATTTTTCAGGAGACAAACTGTGAAAGATAAATCGGAAGTTCTAGGATTCTTCAAGTTTATCATGGGATATGTGGACTATTCTTACCGATTCTACTATTGTTCCCTCCTTTGTTTACATGATCATTGTTGCTAAGATTAGGAATCGTTCACCTGAGGTAAGATTAATTCACCTGATATGTATATATCCTTAGATATTTCTCAGTGTGGCCAGAGGTGGTCAACGGAATACAATCTCAATCTTTGTATGGAAAGATCGCGACCAGTTTCTTCTGAAGGATCAGGTGGTGCTGAAAGCTGTAAAGATGGGTCCAGTGTCACAATCATCTGAATGAAACTGATCCATATATTGTGGGTAAGACGATTAGTGGACTTTAATTTGACTATGATGTAGCCATAGAAAACTACAACTGTGACTTTTTCCACTGAATTGTTATAAACCCTTTTTAATGTGAATATGTACTGTTTAACTGTTTTTATTTTGTAAATATATGCATTTATGTCGACTACATGTATCTCTCTTAATTATCATTTCAAGGACATTGCATAGTTAACGAAGTTGATGGGCAAGTAAAACTGGTGTGAAATGCGTAAACCATTATTATTTCCTCAGTTCATCATCAATTCTCCCATGAAATGTTACAGTTACGTTCATTCCGGCTGCGTAAAAGATAATCCTTCATCAGGGCTTGAGAAAAAATATACGTTAAGCTTAGGTTTGTTTTGCGATTACTACATATGCATAATAACAAATGCAAGACGGCTACGTAGTTTGAACTGTTGAGCTACAGGTGTTCAATTTCTGCGTGAATCATTTTTCCCTAATATTTTGGAAATTAGCAGCTTTCCTAACATTATCCAGGTATCCATAGTCAACAAGGATTGTATTGTATCAACTGTAACAACATTTGGCATTCACTCGTGAAATCTACATCAAGAATCTTCGGATACCCTATCTAACCACGTGGAACTCAGGACTTTATCCACAGAGAACTCTGTAAAGGAAAGTCTGACTTTTTATTTTTGCAATATAAATCTGTTTATCGTTGTTGTTTTGATACTTCAATAATACAGCTATCTTATTTTTATATCCTCAAGACTTTTTTTCCGGAAATTGTGAAGTTTCTTATTTCTGTAATGGTTAAGTCTATCAAACGTGTAAGTACCGTTAAAAGACTAAGATCTAATATTTGAAAAGAGAAAGATTGAGCGAAGAAATATTTACTTTTCAATTAGATTCTCATCTCTGGCTCTACTCTAATATATATAGCATTTTAATTACGATACACAACAATTTACCAATCAAGTGGCGATATGTTTGTTAACAATAATTAGTCGGTGTCAGAATGTCAATGGGGTGATAATTAACGAAGAAAAATAATATATATAATTAAAAGGTGGAAATAGTTTCAACACGTGGATTGCATAATGCATAATTTTGGAAAAATGAAGAGCAATTAAGGAATAAGCGTATGCACAGGTTGATTACGTAACAGATTGTTAAAGAAAATAAAACAATTTGGACAATGATAATTTGTAACTAAAGTTGAAGTGGTCATAAGAATAAAATAATTTTTACAAGGATAACACGTAATTAAAGATTAAGTAGTCAGAAAAATAAAATAATTTGGACAATTATAGTTTTTGAAAAGAAAAATTATTCTAGGGGGAGGGTGATGGAGTGGTCCGGTTTGTACATTTATGTAACGATGGCCAAGGTAAGGAAAGTGGCTGTACAAATTTCTTCTGAACACACAA